GAATTTGCAAATACACACATATACGCACATAAACATACGCATGTGAAGAGTTATGCACACTCACATATACGTATATACTTTTATACGCATTTATACATGCATATTCAGATTTAAATTAATAAAATTATGAAATTATAGTTCGTATCTAATATATCTAATTAAAAATAATGTTTGCATAATATGCATATATACATACACATGCATAACACAGAATCACACACACGCATACTTTAAATTTCAAAATCTATACAGTGGCGCTATTGTTATATTTAATACAAATAAAATTACTGCCTGCAGATATCAATAACCTAGGCTTAATAATTCGTAAGTAAATTAATTAAGTAAGTTAATTAATATTTATCTTTAGATTTAACAAAGTGAAGTTTATTAAATAATTATAAATAATTGAATTTATCACTCGGTTTTTTTAGTTAAAGAAAGAAAATTTGAATAAATCGGTCACTCCGAGTCAGGCTTTAAAAAAATAAAACGATTTCTTTACGTTTCGACAGCGCAGCTGTCCTCTTTAGAAACTACAAAAATTTATTAATAATTATAGTTAGATTACATAATATATAGAAAAATGATTAAAATTAAAGTTTTGTATAATACAATTACCGGAGAGAAACGAAAATCAACATCTATGTCGTTTAGCTGTTGATTTGACACTGATGAAACAAACATAAATTTTATTTATATTAAATTTTCTTTCTTTATTCAATAATGTTCTAATATAGATCTTTAAACGCAATAAACAAAGATAATATAAAAACCCATAACTGTTTACAACAAAATAGTAGGTATAAAATTTATTTAATAAAATATATGGCCGGCTGAAAAAACTTGTACAAGAAAATGTATAAGTTCTTGTACATGCCCAGTCGAAAATCCTACGCTATGTTAAGCTGAACAAAAAGTTGTTTTGAAGTATTGAGATAACCATTAGAGAATTGTGAGACAGTAGATAACTAGCTATAGAAAACTTTCAGGAAGCCTGTTATGGCCGATTTTTCGCTTCCACGGAAAGCTTGAAAATAACAAATTTTGTAGGGTAACGGCACCAGTGAAAGAACATTTAAGGAAATGCATACTTTAATCATTTATTATTTTTGAATGCAGTTATTAAAAATTTTTTTACCAATTTTATTTCGATTGCTAATTAAGTGTAGAATGCGAAGGTCATATTTAATTTTCATAAATATAAGATGTTAATTAAAATTTTAATTAATAAGTAAAACATACCTATTTCACCAGTGAAAGAACAAATTGTCTAATGAAAGAATTTTCTGCATCCAGTGAAAGAACGATGTGAAATATATATTTAAAATATATTTAAAAAATATATTAAAACGAAGATAAAGTAATAAAATGTTTGTAATATACTAAATTAAGGTAAATTAATGATAATTATGAATATTTTTTAACTAAGTTTGCAGAATCTTATTTTTAATTGAAAATGCATTTATAACCTACAATCAATCATCTACTTGCAATTTATTTTGACAATATTATTGTAACCTAACAGTGTTAACCTATTTGATTTTGTCATTTTTTTGTTTGACTTCAGACTATTCGTTGAAGGTGTTCCTTCATTGGATTGCATTGGAACCAGTGAAAAAACATTTCTGTTCTTTCACTAGTAAATAAAAAAAAAAAACCCCCAATGACGGAATTTGCTTTTCTTATGGCAAATTAATATTTTATTAGCTTTTAAATGAAAAGAAGTATTTCTAATACACAAGATAAATTTAGTTTAAAAAAGACCGACGATTTAAGGCAGTTTAAATTAGTTAAATGTGAAAAAAGAAATAACGTGTCAGAGAAGAGTTCTTATTGTTGAAGATAAATTTGCAACACAACATTTTTAAAAAAATTTTTTTATAAAATTTACGTGTTAACTCTCTAGGTATCTTAGATACTAAAGACGTAAATTAAATAAGGAACATAAAAATATATAATTTATAATACCAAATTGCTTATTACACTAATTAGAATGCAAAACATGAAATTTGTTCTTTCACTGGTGTCAGTTCCTTCACTGGTGCCGTTACCCTACGTTTTAAACAAAGCATTCAAGTAGCTTTGAGAGAGTTATCAAAGAGTTGCAGGATTTTGCATATATAAAAAGAAAGCGTTCAGGTGGCGAAAATTAAATGAAGCGTCATGGATGTTTCAGGAAACAGCGGAAAAATGACAATGATCAAAAATTAAATTTAACCTTTCTTTCCATCTTTATTTATCTCGTAAAAATATTATGTATTAGATTATTATATTTAAATATTGAAGAATTAAAGAAAAATTATTTACGTCAGACTCGGTATTTTAACTTTTAGTACATTGTTGTCAAACAAAATTTGTAAATAAAAATACGCTGTTAAATTCATTTTCATAAATTATGAAATTCTAAAAGAATAAAGAATATATTATTTATAAAAAATATTCATAAATATCAAGTATAAAAATAATAATCTTTTTTTTTAAATATTAAATATTTTGTCTTTTTTTTAAGAAATTGTATTCATTATTCAATATAAAAGGTTTTCACCGTGTTCGAATTCCTAACCCCAAATTTTGCTCAAGTTATATATAATCTTTTTCGTATATAATTTAAGTGTTTAAAAATAAACGTTTTCTTTGAAAAGTAATTTTTATATAATATATAAAGAATAATTATTAATTGTAGGGTAACGGCACCAGTGAAGGAACTGACATCAGTGAAAGAACAAATTTCATGTTTTGCATTCTAATTAGTGTAATAAGCAATTTGGTATTATAAATTATATATTTTTATGTTCCTTATTTAATTTACGTCTTTAGTATCTAAGATACCTAGAGAGTTAACACGTAAATTTTATAAAAAAAATTTTTTAAAAATGTTGTGTTGCAAATTTATCTTCAACAATAAGAACTCTTCTCTGACACGTTATTTCTTTTTTCACATTTAACTAATTTAAACTGCCTTAAATCGTCGGTCTTTTTTAAACTAAATTTATCTTGTGTATTAGAAATACTTCTTTTCATTTAAAAGCTAATAAAATATTAATTTGCCATAAGAAAAGCAAATTCCGTCATTGGGGGTTTTTTTTTTTTATTTACTAGTGAAAGAACAGAAATGTTTTTTCACTGGTTCCAATGCAATCCAATGAAGGAACACCTTCAACGAATAGTCTGAAGTCAAACAAAAAAATGACAAAATCAAATAGGTTAACACTGTTAGGTTACAATAATATTGTCAAAATAAATTGCAAGTAGATGATTGATTGTAGGTTATAAATGCATTTTCAATTAAAAATAAGATTCTGCAAACTTAGTTAAAAAATATTCATAATTATCATTAATTTACCTTAATTTAGTATATTACAAACATTTTATTACTTTATCTTCGTTTTAATATATTTTTTAAATATATTTCACATCGTTCTTTCACTGGATGCAGAAAATTCTTTCATTAGACAATTTGTTCTTTCACTGGTGAAATAGGTATGTTTTACTTATTAATTAAAATTTTAATTAACATCTTATATTTATGAAAATTAAATATGACCTTCGCATTCTACACTTAATTAGCTATCGAAATAAAATTGGTAAAAAAATTTTTAATAACTGCATTCAAAAATAATAAATGATTAAAGTATGCATTTCCTTAAATGTTCTTTCACTGGTGCCGTTACCCTATAAAGCGGATTTACAAATTACTATAGAATTTTTATAATTTTTCGATTTAGTTTAATTTAATGAAATTATTCTAGTTTTCAGGAAGTGTAAAAAAGGTAATTAAATTACATATTAATTTGCAACTTGTGAAAAGCAAATAGAATTGCTTTCTTACACATTAAACCAGGCATTAGGAAAGCATTCACCAAGCAAACTGGTAGACCTTTTGCTAGAAGCTGTCCACAGATATTCAACAAGCTGTAGAAAAAGCTTCCGGTTAAGAAGTCAGAAAGCAAATATCACAGAATTTTAGGTCTAATGTATAAATAGTTGCCATGAAGCTTTTGAAACCTTCATAACAGTTACCTGAAGGCCATGTGAACCCTTCAGGGAAACTTACGATTTTCGACTGGGTGTTCATTAATGAACTTGTACATTTTCTTGTACATGTTCAAGTAATGTTCTTAAACAAGTTCAACATCCGGAATTGAGACATGTTCTTGTACCAGAACTTGTACAAGATCTTGGATAAGAAAATATACTTCTACAAGAAAATGTACATGTTCTTGTACATATTTTTTGTGCAGGTTTCATGTACATGTACTTTTACATGAACACGTTTATGTTCTTGTACAAGAACATTTGTTTAAAAATGTTTTTGAAAAAAATTTGAAATTTTAATGAGTTATAATTATTAAGAATCTTCACTTACGCATGCTAAAAATTATTGCGCAGCTGTAAAGGCTTAAAAAAACTACTGCGCAGCCTTTAAAGTTTTTAATTTTTAATTTAAAAGACATAAGTGAACATGTACAAGAACATGTTCCACATCTGGTACAAGAAAATGTATATGAAACCTGCACAAAAAAATATGTACATTTTCTTGTACAAGTATATCTTCTTGTACAGGATCTTGTACAAGTTCTGGTACAAGAACATGTCTCAATTCCGGATGCTGAACTTGTTCAAGAACATTACTCGAACATGTTCATTAATGAACATGTACAAGAACTTGTACATTTTCTTGTACAAGTTTTTTCAGCCGGGTGTCTTATTTAAACCTAAAATATAAAGTCGGCACATTTGGCAAGAGAGTGAAAATATGTATGACTATTTGAATTGAAAAGATGTCTGGCCTGCGCATGGTCAACATGTGTTTGCAACTCTCGAGAGCTGCGTTTGCTTTTTTATTATATTTTTTTTATTAGTTTTCTAAATTTCCAAATGATAGTATTTAGCGTCTTTTAACTCAAGATCCATTTTTTTGACGTAACACGGGCCTGTTTTATTATCGCGTTGAATTTTACTCGAAAAATCTCAACGAAAATTTATGTCTTTTACTCTTATTACAATACAGTTTTAAGTTGAGATCGACATTTTCTCATTGACAAATTCGAAAGTTTCTCCTGAGCTAATGTTGATCTTAAGTATGTTTTTCTTAATTTTAGTTTACTGAAACTGCGTTCACCTTTGGCAACAGTTACTGGAATAGTTAGCAGTATTCTGAGGGTAATCCAAGTGTTAGGAAATAACTCGCACCCGTTATTGTTCTTTAAGACAGACAGAACATCCTTAGGTTGGCCTTGGTCTTCATCTAAGAAATTCTTAAAAGTAAATATTTCTTGAGCAAAATCCGTCTAACAAATGTCACTACTGGAATCGTGGGTCAAAATATTTTCTAAATTTAAACAAAATTGCTTCAATTCGGGCTTATCAATTGGTCGTTTTAAATCATACAAAAAACTCAAAATTGAATTAAAATTCGACATTTGTTCGAAATGCATATCGAGAGAATTTACAATTGTATCTATCAAAGTATAGAATACGGTGATCTTAAAATTTTCTTCTGGGTTGGTTGAAGTTTCATCTTGAGATTCATAGTCGAACATTCTTCTTCTTCGTCGGGTTCGAGTTTGTTGAAACACTGGGGAAATGTCTGCTTTTTCGGCGATCTCCTTTGCTACAATCACAGCTGATGCATAACCATTATTTCTGTAGTCTTTGACAAATTTACAACATTTTTGTAATAAACTTGTTGCTAATAAAAAGTCGGCCGATTCTGATTGCAAGGATTTACTAACAATATTTATTTGGTAGAGAAAATCATACCAAATCACAAGAACGAGCAAAAATTCGTATTGATTCATATGTTCGGCGAGAGATCTGGCTTCTGAAGCTGCTTCTGGATCAGTACTTTCCTCGTGTTGTTCTGGTAGTGCATCTCTGATTTCAGTATATTGATACTTGACAGCTTTAAGACTTGAAACTCTACTTTCCCAACGTGTCTCACAGACTTTTTTTAATGTCAGTGTTTCTGTATATTTTGAAATTGTTTCCCACCTTTTTGTAGAAGATGAGAAAAAGACAAATAGACGTTGGATAACTCCGAACAATGAGACCGATTTAACTGAAGTTTTAGCAGCGTCAGAAGCAACTAAATTATGACTGTGACAACCGCGAACGTTAAAAAATGACCTGGGATATTCTTTGATGATGCGGCTCTAGACACCCTTTTGTTTTCCTACCATATTTGCACCATTATCGTAGCCTTGACCCCTGCAATCATTCATATCTAGCCCATATTTCTTTATCACCTCATCCAGAAATAAATCCGTGAGACCCTGGCCACAAGAATCCGATACTGTTCTGTATTTAATGAAACATTAACGCACGCAATTGTCATCAATATTAAAAAATCTCAATGTAACACTTAGCTGCTCAATATGGCTGATGTCAGGTGTACAGTCTAAAATGATTGAAAAATATTTAGATTTTTTTAATTTCTTGCCCCCACAGCACCGAAAATTTCCTGAAAATTTCCTAAAGATTTATTTGCAAACTTCGGAAACTTTAATTGCAAAGTTTAGAGAAAATTGTATAAAGATTTAAATGTCCAAAATGAATAAATGTTTGGCGTAAAACTTGACGGAAGATTTAAATTAAATTTTCCAGAAATTTTCGACGCGAAAATTGAGTGAAGATTTAAATTAAAGTTTCGTGAAATGTTTGGCGTAAAAGTTGACTAAAAATTTAAATTAAATATTTATTAAAAATTTATACCGAAAGTTGAGAGAAAATTTAATTTAAATATTCAGTCAATTTTTGTGACGAACATTTCCTAAAAATTTAAATTAAATTTTCAAAAAAGGTTGGACGAAAATATTTGTAAAAAATACAAAAATAATATTTAAGAAGTATTAATATTATTATTAATATTAATAATAATAATACATAGATAGATAGATAGATAGATAGATAGATAGATAGATAGATAGATAGATAGATAGATAGATCTTTATTATTATTATTATCAATAAAAAAAATTTACTATCTAGGATTAAAAATAAAATAAATAATATACAAACATTGTTGCTCTGCTTTGATTCACATTGAATGTAGGTTCAATCCCCAGCACCCCATAATTTGTTTTCAAAAGTTCTTGCTCAACAAGCATGCAGTGCTTGATTCAATGTGAATCAAAGCAGAGCAACAATGTTTGTATATTATTTATTTTATTTTTAATCCTAGTTAGTTTTAATCCTAGTTTCATTAAATGTTGATCCACTCCAGTTTGTCTTCCTAATGCTTTTGTGGCTTGCAACCAGTTATATGTTGCTGACTGGTGATCCTTCGAAATTTCATGTTTTTGTAAAGCCAACGAAATATGAGCCCAATCATCATAATGAATTTCGGCAAAATAAATTGCAATATCAGCATAATACCTTTGCAGAACATTTTGAATAAACAAGCCACGTCCTACTATACAATACAATACTATACAAGAACTCATACAAGATCTCGGATAAGATCCCATGTGTGTTCCTATTTATCGTGTTGTTCATATAGGAACCTACACAGGAAACCTCATGGGATCCTGTGTTATTGCTTTTACAGAGACATAAGATCATGCGCGAGCTCTCACGCAAGTTCATCCCAGGAACCTTTTCATACAGGATCTTATGTGTGAACCTGTATGGGAACCCACATAAGAACTCACAAGAGATCCTGGATGGGATCCCATATGTGTTCTCACATAGGAATTTTCAACAGGGTAGTCATCATCATTGTCAAGTTTACAATTATTAGGTCCTCGCAACACTATCTCATCAATTTCCCTTTTTGTCAAAGAATTTGGCTAGTTAGATATGTCTTCTGAAACGCACAACGGTAAAGTTGACGAAGGAGTCTTCAACATTTTTGTGAAACCCTATGTATTTATGCTAAAAAAGGGTTGAATAAAAATAATAAAGGAGCATCTCGTGTAAGTATGCTTAAGTATACATATACGTATACGTATTCATATAAAACTTACTATATAAATATACATACACGTTTTCATCAAATAACTTATTTCGCTATAACAGATAGCAGAGCATGATATGGATGGATCTAATATGACCTATTTGTTTGAGTGATCAAAAGTTCTGATAAACAAAAATAAACCATTTTTATTGAAATGATTCAAAAGTAATCCTCGAGAATTAACTCGTAAATTTATGCTGGAACTGGTGGGAGCAGAAAAATTAAAAACCATGACAGCACAAGGCAAAAAAGGAAACGCAATTCCTGAAGAAATAAAACCCCTGTTTTTTATTGTTGTTGTAGATGTTTGAGTTAATGTTTGGCCAATTTCTGGAATTTAAAACTATTATTAATATTTTATTATTTATTTGCTTAAATGTTATATACGATTTTTATTAACAATAATTTTTATTATTTTCAATTTAAAAACAAAATTTATCTAATTTGTTAAATATTCCAACTAAAATTTGACATACATTTAAGGTTATTTTCGTTTTTTGGTCATTTTCCTTCAAAGTTTAACATAAATTTTGAGGTTATGTTTGTTTCTTTGTCTTTTTGCCCTAAATTTTGTCCTATATTTTGAGGTTATGCTTGTTTTTGGTTGTTTCCCGCCAAAATAACTTAACTTTAAAATTTAGTTCAATTTCGGAGAAAAATCCACCACCCCTTCAACGTAAGGAAGGAGGGGGGGGGCTTGCAACTATATTCACAGTTTTAAAACGAACATAACCTTTAAATTCAGGTCATTTTTGGCGGGAAATCCAAATCCACCTGCGGCTATATTTAGTCTTGAAGTGAACATAACCTCAAAACTTATGTCATTTTTGGCGGGAAATACGGAGAGAGATGAGGGAAGGGGAAAGGACTTGATGCTCTATTCAGAGTCTTGAAACAAACATAATCTCAAAATTTAGGTCACGTTTGGCGGGAAATACGGAGAGAGGGGAGGGGGAGGACTTTCGGCCCTATTCAGTTTTGAAACGAACATAACCTCAAAATTTATGTCATTTTTGGCGGGAGAGGGAAGGAGAGAGAGAAGGGAGTGGGGAGGACTTGCGGCTCTATTCAGAGTCTTGAAACGAACATAACCTTAACATTTAGGTCATTTTTTGCGAGGGAGGGGGGAGAAGGGGGGGGACTTGCGGCTATATTCATATGGGTCATTCCATATCAAGTGTAACCAACCAATGTACTATCCATGTGAAAAACATAGGTTGGCTAACCCTTAACTAACCTTGTCAAAAACATGGGTTGGGTACACTTGACATGGAATGACCCATCCTGGTCAAAATTTCTGAAACAGCGGCGGCGGCGGCTAAATCTTTTTATAATATAGAAAGATATCTAACTCTATTTTATCTAATATTAAAATAACACAGTAAGTTATGGGGTATTATTACCAAAATTGATTAAAATAAGAAGCAACGCTTTAATCCATCGAAGATTAAAATAATCCATCTGAAGATTAAAATTACATTCGAAAAAATGTTTTTTAAATTTAAATAATTTTTTAATTTTTGAAAAAAAATTTTAATCTAAAAAATGGATTATTTTAATTTTTTATGGTATTAATTTAATTTGCAATGCTTTTTAATACCTTATATTTTACTGTGAAGTCAATCTTTTAACTTTAAACTACTTTCACTTCAATCTTTGATCGCGTTAGACATAAAACTATCCTGAAAATATTTTTAAACAAAATATTATTACTGGATATAAATATTAAAACTGTTTAATTATTTTATATACAGAATACGTACAAGCGAGAAATAAGAATTTTTTCGAATTCGAATTTACAACTGTCCTCAACTATCAATGTGGAACATTAAGAAATCCTAAATTAAAAAAAGAAAATGTTAATTCAGGGGGAAATAAAAATAGGAATAAAAGTATTGTCAGTAAAAAGGACAGGAAGAAAGAAAAGAAAAATTCGAACCAGGAAAATAGTTAGGAGAAAGAGAAAAGTCATAATCAAGAAAATGAGGAACGAACAGAGAATGAAGTGGATAGTGAGAAAGAAGAAGATGGTGAGAAATAAGAGAATAGCGAGCAAGAAGAAGATAGTGACGAAGAGAATAGTGAGCAAGAAGAAGATAATGACGAAGAGAGTAGCAAGCAAGAAGAAGATAGTAATAATGAAGAAGATAGCGAGCAAGAAGACGATAGTCAAGATGAAATGGATAGTGAGCTCAAAGAGCCACAACCAAAAACAAATATTAGAGAAGTTTTTTTCTTTTAATAACTCAATATATTTAATATATTAATACAAATATTAATTATTTTTAAAATAATTAATTAAAATATTCTTTATTTAAATTAACTAAATTCATACATATCATTCATTCATGCTATCATTAAGCATCACACTATATTAAAATAGACACTTCAAAAGATACGAGAGATTGAAAGAGAGAATATGAAAGAGAAGGGAGGGATTTTTATAATGAATTGTTATTATTATTGTTGCACTTATAATATTATATATGAAATATTTTTTAATACATATAATATATAATAATAATAAAAAAAAAATTATTATTATTAATAGTAGTTTTTTATTGTAACATTTTTGATTCAATGGGATAAATATTAAATATAAAAATTTCAAAACATTTCAATTTGAGAAGTATATACTCTTAAAACGGAAGTTAGATTATCGCTATAATAACAAATTTGAAAAATTTCATGTTAATAAATGTATTTACTTAAAATTGATTTTTTGACATTGCCATAGTATGGGCGAAATTTAGCCCATAGTTCAAAGATGTCGAAGTCAGAAGAAAACTTGTCCATAGTTCAAATATGGGATTTGTACGAACCCCACACTTGGTCCAATGTAGCTAAACAACAGGCAAAATCTTACAAAAATCACACAAATCATTTCCACGCGGGTTGATTATCTTTTATGGTTAATCAAATAAATTTAATAAATGAAATTAAGATAATAATGAGATAGTTGTAATTTACAATTTGAATTTTCCCGCCAGAAGAACATGCGCATTCATATTCGCGCACTTTTACCGTGTGTGGTCGGTATAATAGAGTTCTTGTCACTTTTAAGAAAACTGTTATTTTTTAATTAAATTGCAATTATCATGAACTGTGCTCGTTAAATAATAGAATAATTTAATGAAATTTGCAATTTCTATTAAATATAAATTATTTTTTCACACAGTTTACACTAATTTCTTGAAAATATTGTGAAAACTGACGAGTTAAAATCTACAGACACGTAACACTTGCACAAATCAAGTGATTATTTATCACTTTAATAATTGAAATTCTTGCAAAAATTAACTCTATAAATATTCATTTACCCTCCCAATACTTATTTTGAAAAATTTTCATCAATTAAAAGATTTTTTTTTATAATTATCCAAATTCGACTTAGATTTGCCCCAGCTGGGTTGGAATTGGGTAAATCAAATCCGCCAAGGTTCATTTAAAAGAAATAGTGAAATTTAAAAATTAACTTATATAAAAATTCTGTTTAATAGAAAACAAATTTAATAAAACTTTGGACAAATGAAAGATGTATTGAATAAAAAATTTGATAAATGCAAAATTTGTTTACATAAAATTTCTAAAATATGAAAGTTTGAATATATAAAAAATTCTTTATATAAAAAATTTGTTATGCAAAGTTTTAGAAAATTGAATATTTAAATTTTGTGTTTATGATTTGATTAAAAAATTGACTAAATAAAAAGTCGATAACGTTAAATCACGAATAAAATAAAAAACTGTTTAACGAAAACTTGTTTAAATAAAAATGTTATGTTTTAAAAATTTGGATAAATTTCAGTTTTGTTAAATATAAATTTTACCAAATAAAAATTGGTTCAAATAAAAATTCAATTAATCATAAATTACGTCAGACAGGATTTTGGTGAAATGAAAATTACACTATATAAAAATTCGGTAAAAGAAAAACTTTAACACATGAACTATTTGTTAATTAAAATTTATGTTAATCTATAATTTTACTGAACGTAATTTTGTTCAGACAAAATTTCTATATTAAATTCAATTTCACTTTGATAAAACCTCTTAGCCCATTAAATTTCCATCAATTGCAACTTCTTTTATTTAAAAATTAACGAAAGTGATTAATTTAAAAAACATTTTCTTAACGTACGCATTTTCATACTAACTAATTCAAAAAAACGAAAAATCTTTGAAACGACAGTTCTGCGATATAAAATTCTATCTATCAAACTTTATATGTACTGATTTCTATGAAGTCATCAGACGCACAATGTGTATCGTTTTCACATTCAGAAAGACACCTTCTCAAGATACTACAATTAGTATATGAAAGTGTTTTAACCCATTAAGGCCCATAGGTTACACAGCGCTTCTAATGTGAAACTAACTATTGGATTCATAGCATAACCGAAAAAAAGTTACCCCTATTTTTTCTTTTTGCAAAATAATTTGTTTAAACAATTTAATAAAAAAATCGATTTATAAAAAACCAATAGAGCCATCCGAAAGAACGTTGAAAAATAGGCAACTTTTCTCTTTACAACTTTTTTATCCAACCACACCTTTTTGCAATAAGTAATTATAAACGATTAGTACATAAAAGTACGAAACAGCTCATGCTCTGGGATTTGCAAAAACATCGAAACTGTATAGAAAAATTTCTATCTGATTAAATCCTTTTACTTCAAGCTGGGAATACATAAAAATATGCTGCATATGTGTATATAAACTTTATTTTATAATTGTATAATCATACATTATCATACAAATACTTCCATACACGTTTAAAAATATTGAGTGCAAAAAAAATTAAAAAAGAAGAAACAAAATTATACTAAATTTAACATATTTCTATAGTTGTTTACATCAGTCTTACTAAATATAAAAGGCCTCTTTTTCATACAGATAAAATTTTTATTTTTAGTGGCTAGACGTTATATTTTTCAAATATAAGATTTTTCAGCAAAAATCTAACATAACAATATCTTGAAAGTTAACTTCCAAAACATTAATGTAAATTTTCGTAATAACAGAATTTTTTTAATATATTAAAATTCAGTATCTATTTATCTAATTAAATTTTTCTGCACACATAAAAAAACTAAACATAACATTAATTTAGATTTTTATTAATTTGAAAGTTAAACGGCTGGACTAATTTTTATTCCCGACATATTGTGGAAATATTCGTACTTACATATACATATAATTAATAGTTAAATAAACACCATCACGTTTAAAAAATACCATATTGTCACTTTGTGATAAACTAACATTTAAATATAATTTACAGTGGCTTGGCCAAACAACATTTTGTGATATTGTTTATTTAACAATATCAAAATATAATGACAAATTATTTGTTGCAAAAATCAAATTGGTTAAGTTTGATTAACTTTGACATTTAAGGTCATATGATTGATGTATTTTCACATGTAAATATTCTCCGTACGTTTTCTCGCAAAATATTTGATAGATTCAGCTAAAATTTTGTGGAGTACTTAAATAGTATATTATGTACCAAGGGCGGGAACACCGAATTTATTGCCGAGCACAAATTCAAATTCAATTTTTTTTAAATAAATTTTTTTATAAAATATTAATACTCTGGCACATAACATCTATTTCTTATGCTATTTTTAAGTTCTTTGTAAAAATTTAGCACAATCTATCAAATATTTTGCGAGAAAACCTGTGAAAATATTTACATTTGAAATCACAAGAATCACACAACCTTTAAAATTTTTGTGAGAAAAATTTTATTTACTTATTTTGTCGACCATGACTTCAAATAGAGTAAGTTAATAAGTAATTTTACTATATAACATTTAATCAATCTCTTTCTTAATAAACAAGCAAGTAATAGTGTCTTTAATTTTTAAAAAAGTTTCATATTTATTTATATATCCTCAGACTTAACTTTTTAAAGCTTTCTTAATCATTTTTTTCTTTAAAGAAGATATTTAACGTGCAATTTATAAGTACTACTGGTAAAAGTAAATTTTCCTTAATCTAATAGTTTGACATTTTTTGTATATATAATGTGATTGTATATAATTTCCATTTTTGCATTTTAGCATTTTGAGACCATTTTTGTATTGTTTTCTTAGATGCTTTAACATTATTTACTAATTAAAAAAGTCTACAATTATTGAAAAGTATATAATATTATTGTTTTGTTACTTATTGAAAAGAAAACAGGTTATGTTTCTGCAGTTCTGTTATGAACTGATTATATAAATCACACGCACATATACAATATCTGTTATACATATCTATTCTATAAATATATATTAGGTATAAAATGCTCTATAGTGAAGTATACTCTTCAATAACATAAACATAAACACATAATTATCAAAATTATATCAGAATGAATTTACAAAATTTAAAGACGTTAGAAAATTAGGTAACATAAAAATTTTAACTTTATTATTATCAGCCTAATCCTCCAACTTCTTTAAATTTAAAAAATATCTGTTTCTTTAAAATAACAAATTTTATTTTAAATTCTAGTTTCATTTTTCTGTTTCTTGAAGATAACAATGCAGTTGACACTACGTAACGGTTTTAAGGCACATCAGTCTTAAAGTTTCAATTCATGCTATTCGGCTTTAACCTTCAGTCTTCCATTCATAAGGTTTATCAGTCTTAAGTTTCCTAACATATTGTTTTTGTACTTGTGGAGGTAGATTTTTATATTCGCAATATTCAAATTAATTATAGTAAAAATGATATAACAATTCTTAAGAACAAAAGTTCGTTACAAAAGTATAATATTTACTCAATCTATTGTATTATATTTAAAACCATTAAATAATATCGGAATATGGAAAGTCGAATTTTCATGATTATAAACTTGTGGATTGTGTCAGTGAGTTATAACAACACTGGAATGCATAATTATAAATTCTTACTGGGGGCATTTAATCAAGAATACTTTCCAAAGAACATAATGACAAAAATTTGTTGCTGATGCTTTTGTAACTAAATATTATAATTGAGGATTATTGCATCCGTATCCCATGGCCATTGCCTATAATCAATTATTGCTAATTCTAAAATTATAACAATTATATTTTTTAAACTACTAAATAAATATATATATATATATATATATATATATATGTGTATATGTGTATATATATATATATGCGTTTATCAATATTTTTCTCCTATCTAAAACATTAAATGTAAGATAGGAACATTTTGTAACCTAATTAACAGTAAACATTAGCCCTTAATACTTTTATAAATAAAGACAAAAAATAAGAGATAGCATAACGCTATTGTACAACTTCATAACGGTAACTACAAATGTCAAACCAGAGAGTATAATTATAGGTCTTAATGAATAGTCATTTAGTATTTGTGTAAACAATTTTCACCTTTGTCTCAAATTCAAAATTAAAATTTTATAATAATCAAATTAATTGGTTGCGATTATTAACACAGTTACTGTTCATTGTTAAAAATATTTAATTTTAAAATGAACGAAAGAAAAAGAAAAAATAATTCTTCGTTTGAAATAAATATTTTTTTACTGATAAATTCTTCTATTAATATTGTAAACCATTTTTAATGGAACATGATATGCTTCAAAATTGTAGTGAATTGTATGCTCCTTTTTTCAATTATCATTGTTTTAAATAGATTTCATTGAAAATTTTGAAAGTTTAAACAATTTAAATTAATCATTATCAGTCTTCATAACAATCTTTAAAAAATCACTTTGCTTAAGTTGCAAATAAACAGAAAGAAAATGAATAAGAAATTTATTATGTAATCTATAAACGAAAACATTATGCAGATGAATGAATCGATTAGTATACGTATGTCATTTCTTGTCAATTATGACTTTCAAGAACTTCATCTTTTTGAGAAGCGTCAACTATATCATCACTGGGAACCATAGAAACATCATTATTTCTTACCTCTTTTCTAGATTTTACCGACAAATCTTCAACCATATTATCAAAATTTTCATTTTCTTTGAGATTCTCAATAACGGGACTTGGACTATTTTGCCTTGAATGTAGTAAAGAATTTTGTTCCTCCAAAGAGGAATAAGAGTTTCTATAAATACTTCCATTTACATTACCGCCAATACCAAAAGGAAATTGAGCACTGCCATTATCGATATGTGAATTTGTAGCTGAACTTCTTCTGTTGCGATTGGTACGAATGCCTAATTTTTTCACCTTATCATATAAAGTACGTGAGGGTACTTTGTATTTTCGAGCTGCTTTCAAAGCACTTAAACCTCCCTGCTTTACTTCCATTATAGCGTTGTTAATATCCTCACGTGTATATTGTTTATATCGTTTCCATTCTCGTGCCGTTGATGTGTTGTAGCTATTGTTTTCTGAAAAGTATTAAAACAAAATAAATCAAATTTAAGATTAGACAAAATGTGTGGAATGCCTGGGTGAAATTGAATTTTAAACAAAATTTCAACTCTTACTTTAAAATTATTAAATACAACTTTTGCCGAAACTTTACAAAGGTACATAGTTGAGAGTAAAAATGAAATAAAGAAAATATTAATTTCCGCTGAAACTATTTAACAAATTTGATGATTTTTGAGCATGCCAAAAGTTTAAATAAAGCAATTTAAAAAAATTGTAAGATTTGTTATTTTTTACCCTACTGGAAAATTCTACATAAGTTCCTACAAGAAATCCTACAAGGATTTCTTATAGGATAAATTAAATTCTAAAATTAATTAAATTCTTAAATTCTTATAGGATTCTTTAAATGAAGCTACGTAGGTTCCCACAAGGGGAAATCCTATAGGAGTTTTCCTATAGGATTCATTTTTCACATTCTTCGTTAGCGTATGCAAACCGTGAACGTTGTCTCAAAAAAGTCAAAAAATTAAAATTTAATTCTACAACAAAATATAATGTTTAAAAATCATGTAAATAGATTAATATTTAGATAGTTAATAATATGAGCGCGGGCGGTTCGAGCGAAAAGTCGGTTCATCGATCCAGCTCCTCAATTAATGTAAAAAGCAAAAAAAAAAACCTTGAATTTTGAATATCTCTCACTGCTGGCTTATTACTGGTTACTATAATTTTGCCCGTACTGGCAACATACAAAATTACTGCTAAATTCCAGTATTGAACCAGTACTGAACGCCAGTACTAAGCCATTACTAATGACTAGTACTGATAAACGTTATCATGCCAAACATATGCCAGTATTAGTTCAATATTGGCGGTCAGTTCTTTTCCAGTAATTGCTAGTATTGGCGTAACACTGCGCCGGTTGTAAATTTTTGCTTGGGAATAAGTATGCAGTAACTTTACATTAATATATCGTGCTATGAGGGAAATAAAATTTTTTGTATTTTTGATTTTTTAGCATAATAAATTGAAGGTAGAATTTCTTATTTGCACAAAAAATATTTTGATACCGTTTTTTATAGATCACGTACAAGAAGAAAACTATAATTCACCATAATTTTAGAATGTTTAGTTTTATGCTAAAAAAGTTTTACTCATAGTAATTGAAACTTCTACCTAGACTTACGCTGCACATTTTAGTTTTTAAGTTAATTAACACTTTCTTATTATTTATATAAGGCATGTAAGTTAAAATTTACTGAATTTTTTAAAATTTAATATGTTCTCAGATATATTCTAAAATAGTAGAAATATGAAAAGAATTAATATGTATTAATATTAATATTAATATGCCCTTATGTACATACTTTTTGGAGGAGAAGTTTGTCTATCTTCATCTTCCATATCAGCTGTAGGACTTGATACACTGTCATTTCGTGAAAAATCTGAACTATATCTTCTGCTGATCTCATTGATGGGTGTTACATTTTTTTGTCTTGTTTCATGTTCAGTGCCATTGCCTTTTCCTAAAACAGTTCTCAAAATGGGTGTATCCATATTAGCCATCATTGAAGATAATTTTTTTTTCATCAATGGCGATGTACTTTGTTCATAAGATCTACTGAGAGCCGAAATTTGTGAATGATATGGAGAAAGTCCATGTTGTGGAAATGAAAAAGCTGGAATATTCCAAAATCCTGAATTATGCATTAAATTATGATTTGTAACCAGTGAATTGAATAAATTATCTCGCGATGTGGAAGGGGACACGTGATTTTGTTCATTTCTTGCTGATGTATTAGATGTTGATGGTGATGAACTAGTTATTTCCTGGAAATAAAAACAAAAATTTTAATTAATTATTGCATGTAATTTCAGTTCAAGTACAAAAAATAGTATGTAATAAAATTAATTATATAAATTCATTTTATTTTAAATAAAGAAAAGTAACTTACAAATCGTAGTGACTGTTCATCGTCTACAGGCACATTCGGTTCAATTTTCTTTTCTGATAGACCATTTAATCCTTTGATCTATTGATAATACAAAAATTATTAACATATAAAGTTAACTACAATTATATATTTCCTCATTATATTTTACTTAAACAAGTATTGTCCTGAACTTAAATTTCTTTTAAAAAATTGTTTATTACCTGAAGACTTTCTGCAAGTTTCAAAAATTCAGGTAAATCTTCTGCTGAAACATTTACTTCTCCTCTATATATATATGTTATTAAAGCGACAAGATCCTTAAATCTAGTTTCTTTGCTCAAAATAATAATGAATTGATCAATGGGTGCAATCATGTGACAATTTTCTTGAATAAATCCTGAACAAGCCGCAAGAACAATCTGATGACACTTTAATTTTTCTCCAGTATCTAAGACAAATGTTAAATCTGTGAAGTTCTCATTTTGTCTCAATTCTTCAAATACATCTATCATGTTTGTTTTATGATTGTTCCATTTTAAACAAAAATTTTGATTTCCTGAATCCATTGTGTTGTTCAGTTTAAGACCTGTAAATTATAACAAAATTTTATAATTACAATTTAGAGTTTCGCGGATATAAATATGTGAACAAATAAAACGTTTTTTCACGGAAAAAAATTTCTAGTGTTATCAACAGGATCTCTAGCGCCATCTATAGATACCTGGTTGGGGTATTTACAAAACGCTGAGGTTTGGAAAACAAACAAATTTCATAGAGCATGTCACAATACAATTCGTTGCGCATGCGCTTTGTCTCTGTACTAACGCAAATCAGGTTGTGCTTTTTTTACTGTTGTTGTTTTGTAAATGTTACTTTCATTAATATTTATTACAATTTTTAAGTCTAGTGCAACGATTTATTACGTGCAATAATATTTCATTTGTTTACTTAAATTCTATTCTATTTTTTCAAGAAAAGTTCTTTATAAAACATATTACAATTAAATTGTTGTATAACTTTAGTTTTTTTAGAAATTTTTTTAATTTGTGTAGCTAAATGAAACACTGAGGAAGGTCCACATTGGGACCGAAACGTTTGCTATAATTAAGCATTAATTATTATTTGAATCCCATTTGAAGCCCATTCAACAAAATCCTAATATTTAATTTTAACTTTTTTACCACATGAGACATAAACTTTTTTTTTGTTCTCATCATAAGAACCTTTATCTTGAAAGCTCATATTGACCAAAAGTCTAGTTGATTTACCAAGTATAGTTTCTAGGAAAATTTTTTATTTCAATGTAAGTGCCCAGATAGCACGTAAGCTTACTGCAAGCTTCAAATGTCCCATTTGACCCAAGCTTGCATGGTAAGCTTACCGAAAGATTGCAGTGTAAGATTACTGCAAGATTGCACAATAATATTAACGCAAGATTTCTCAGTAAGCTAGCACGGTAAGCTTGTCGCAATGTTCGTGCAAGATTGACAAATGACCTTAACAATCAGCACAGAAGGTTGCAGCAGACTTGCAGCAAGCTTGCGGAATATAACAAAAAATTTTTTGGGGGGGGGAATTTATTTTTGTATATACATGCACTATGCGCACTTGCAAAAACATTAGTAGGACAGTACGAAAATTGCATAATTTTTTCTTGAAATATTTTCGGTGTTTTAAATACAAAAATAAAGAAAAAAATTTTCTTGATATACATTCAGAAGCAGAATTTTATCAGCTTTCGAACCATCTAAGTTAGAAATCTCTAACTTTTTTCTAACTTAAAATATCTTGCTTTAAAGTCAGCACCGAATTTCCACTCCTCACACGTTAGTCGTACCGACAATTTCCGACAGTAGTGTATATAAGTCAATATTTTCATTTTTTTTATTTTTACCATTTGGTAAAAGAAAAACTTTTTTTGTTTAAAATACCCACATAGCACGACTTCTTGCTGTGAGATTACTGTAAGGATATCTGTAGAGTTTGTAAGGTTACCACGTAAGCCTACAGTAAACTTGAGGTCATCTTAGAACTTCCGCCATTACAGTAAGCTTACACAGTAAAACTAAGGTAAGCTTACACAGTAAGGTCATGGTAAGTTTACACGGTAAGGTTATTATAAGCTTCCCGTAAGGTTACTGTAAGGTTACTGTAAACATAGAGTAATAAGAAAACATTAAAAAATAATTATATTATAATATATATTATATTATAAATTTTTTTTATAAAAAAGTATATATTTGGTAAAGTACTTCATGAACCCCAATAGGGTTTGTTAAATAAAACTTACTGCGCAGCCGTATGTGCCATAGAAAACTACTGCGCATAAATATTAATAAAATTTATTTATCAATAACATTCTATGTTTACAGTAACCTTACAGCAACCTTATAGTAACAATACGGGAAGCTTACAACAACCTTACCGTGTAAGCTTACCACAACCTTACCATGTAAACTTACTACGACCTTACTGTGTAAGCTTAGCTTAGCTTTACTGTGTAAGCTTACTGTAATGGCGGAAGTTTTAAGTTGACCTGAAGTTTACTGTAGGCTTACACGGTAACCTTACGAACCATACAGATATCCTTACAGTAACCTCATAGCAAGAAGTCGTGCTATGTGGGTAAGATTATTTTTTTCATTTTTAAATTAATTTGTTTCAATTAAAATTGATAATTCTTTTTAATTAATCAATTAAATTTAAATTATATAATATAAAAATAACAATAATTAAATAAATATATTTTTATTGATTTATTTATTTAATTTGTTATTATGAATATATGTTATCTTAAATAAAATTTTATTTATGCTTACATGTTTTACTTGTCAATAATAGCCCAATAAAATAAAAACTTCAAATCAATTAAACTGATTATTTACATAACATAATAATAGCCAGAAGCATATATGCACGTTAAAGATTGTCAAAGACTGAATTCGTCTGCTAGCCAGTTACTGTAGCGAATTCAGTGACATCTGCTTGACGGACTTATATTAATTTTCCATGACGGTATCCTAGGCAGGATCTTGGTAAATTCTAGACAGCCTACTGTACGAACTTGTACAAAATTTTCAAGTAAGCATTCTAGACAATAACTAGCTAAATTCTAGAAAGGCTACATATCTAAAGAAATAAAGGGAAAACTGTATAAAAACTGCACATGAACTATGAAGGGCCATCGCAGTTATTTGAGAATAAATTTCCACGAAAAACACTGTCTAGCTATAGGCTAACACTAAGACGGCCACGATAAATTTCTACATGAAATTGACTTTCAGTACTGTGGCAGCCAATATTGTTCCATTATTGCTTTGTCATTGGCTGCCAAGACCATATAATTCAACTGTACTTAAAATTTCTGCAATATTGACGTGCAATGTTGCCAATATTGCAATGTAATATTACTGCAATATTGTAGCAATCTTTAAATGTTATTTTTGCAGCAATATTTCGTGGCATAGTTGTTACAATATTTCTTGGTAATATTTAAGAAACATTGCATAATATTGCAGTAATATTTCTGCAATGTTAAAATAATTTTTTATGCTTTTGAATCGAAGTTTAAAATAAATCTTAAATAATAATACAATGAATAATATTTTGAAATACCTACATTAAAAGCAATGTAAAAATTAAAAATTTGTTTTATTGAGGAAATGCATTAAAAATTTTTTAATATATAAAAATAAAAAAAATAAAATAAATTTTTTTTAATTTCTAACTTCATATTCAACCAACTTACATTTCTGGAAACTAACATTGCGAAGACAATTTTGAAAACAAATTGAATGGACCGGGGATAGAACCCGGGACATCGCGCGCCGAAGATATAAACGAAGCAACCTAACCAACTAACCTACTCTCTAAATTTGAATTAGTAGAAAACTACTAATTCAATAGCGAGAATTGAGCAACTAATTGAAAATAGTTAAATGCTACTGAAATATCAGTTAAAATAACTAATTGACAGTTAAATAATATGAGGTTATGTTTCAAAATTACTGAAATATTAGTAAATTTTGTTTCTCTACTGTCTCAGTAACGTTTTCTACTGATAATTAGCGGAATTTAACTAATGTTTCAGTTATTTCTTATATGCGCGTATAGTTGGAGGAAGATTTTTTTCCCCTTGCAGTTCGTTCTTTATAGGTTAGTTGGTTATTCCTTACGTCAAGACAAATCAATTGGTAGGTGAGACTGGGGCAAACCGGCAAGGTGTTAGTTACTCAGAATTGGTCAAACTTTAAAATATGTCAATTATAAATTTGAAAAGACTATATTAAGAATAACTTATTTCTTCAGTTTGACATTTTTTAATTGTGTTTATGCAATTTTATAAACAAAAGTTTGTTTTTTCGCTTCCGCTAGAAATTTTTAAGAATCTTTTCATAACCAATTTGTGAGAAAATCGTGTAATATTTATTAAAATTGTTTTTTAGGTTTAAAAGGTGCATGCCTCAGTTAAATTTATCAGTATATTATTTAATGATTTTACTAAGCATTTTTTTATACAGGTCTTAATTGTCAAAATGGGCCTGTGGGGAAAACCGACCTATGTCTGTTTCCCTTGCAACAGAAATTCACAAAGATTACCTATCGGCTAGAAAACTTCGTGCACGTTTTCGTGAATCTTTGTCCACTTTACGGCGATTTACGAAGTTTTACAAAGTTCACCGACAGACGTTTCTTCGTGAACAACAATTAGTTGAAAACATTTGTTTTATAATAAATAACATGTTTCTTTAATTGAAATTTAATCCTATCTTATTATTTTCCTTATTAGGAAGATTGTTTATTGATTTTTTATATTTAGTGACATTTTCCTTACAATTAATTCTCTAAACAAACAAACAAAAAATAAACTGGCCGGTTTACCTCAGAGGTGGGGCAAACCGGGCAGTTTGCAAATTTTTTTAAAATTGATGCAGCAGCTAAACAATACATTTTAAGGTACATGTGTCTCTAGGAAAAAGTTGCGCAATTAGATGACCTTTCCAACAAGCTATTATAAAAGGTTTTTCATTAGTTTCTTTAGTTACTAGAGCCTTACAACTGTTAACATGGCCGGTTTGCCCCAGTCACCCCTATATATAAAGTATAGTTTTAATTTATATTTAAAGAATTAATGAAAGTTAAAAAATCAAAAATTTACATTTTGGCTATAAAATTTTGTGATTATTTAAATTTAAGTTTATATATGAAATAATTGTATTCCTTGCATGAAAACGAATCGATTGGTATATATAAAGTATATATTTAAGGTAAATTTAATAAATTAATGCCCCGTGCAGAAATTATGGTCTGGGCCTCTCAAGGCCCTTCCCAGTACGCCTGGATTCTGGCAAGGGCCTGACATGGCAAACTGGCAAGGCCCTAGTAATGGCTTGAGACGGTTTTGCAAGGATTTGCACTACTTAGGGATGAACTTGCCAGGGCCATGAGAGTTTTCCTGGGAATTACCCTATATTTTGTGACAAAAATAACAATCAGTGAAAAATGTACTACAGGCTTATAATCAGTTGTAATGAGTAATTGATTGAATCAGTAAGCAACAAAAACTTGTAACAAAACAAAAACAGA